AAAACCTAAGCTACATTTTGATAAAATTTTATGTGTAGTTATTATGCGCGTTTTTGTGTAATTAGTAAAAACAGGTGCCCGGATACTTTTGTCCAGGGTGTGCACATAACTGTTTAATATTGGTATAAGTATCGAGTTTTTTTGGCCAGTTCCGGCTTCTAAGCTAATGCTCGAAAGGATTGAATTTTTCAATCCGAAACGAATCCGAAACCAATCCTAATTTATGGTTTGTTTGAATTAGTTTCGGATTGGCTTTTTCCTCCAATCCGATCTGAACCGCTCGGGCTTTAATGATAATAATAGTACAAAAAGTATTAGTGAAATCGAGCAAGTAGATTAATTCACAATAATATAAATTTTGTTGATGCCCATGATTCAAATTCTGTTTTATATATGAATGCGATGCATAATGGTTTCAATGCAATTGTCTCCGACCGTATCACGAATAATGTTACTTAGGTCATGATTTAGGCACAACATATATACAACACAAATAGTATTGGAAAGACAAAACAGGACGACCAATTAAAACCACGAGAAAAATAATACTGAAAAACTGACTACGGCAACAATTTCAATAAAGTTATCTCGACTATATTTAAACTATATTATAACATAAATAAAATGAAGCTTTTACAAAATAATAGATAGTACATAATATATAGAAAGAATCAAGAATATGATATCATCGAAAAATTATGAACAATCACAAGCCCAAGTGAACTCAGTAGCACTGGCACATTGTGGGTAACAGCCAGTACAAGTTTTAGTACAACCTGGATTCGTAGCAGCAGCAACGGAGCAGTCCCATGTAGAGGCAGCGATATCTTGTATTGCGCAAGTACCACTTGAAGCGATGGCAGTAATTGCACAAGGAAAGCAAGTGACAGGACCACGCTTGTTTAAAGGATTAGCAGGTGAAATTACTGGAGACGCCGAAGCAACGAAAAGAAAAATCGAGAGAACCAAGAAGAGTTTGAGACCCATTGGAATCTAAAGAGAAAAAAGAAAGCTTAACAACAACGTATGGTATGAACGAATAGATTGAAAAATGATGAGGAAATGTACTGACCATAAAAAATCTTGACATAGTGAATAAAATAATAATAAAAGTGGAAAAATAGATTATTATATTGTTAGATCGTTAGATTGTTAGATTGTTTTAGATTGTTAGGCTGTTAGATTGTTAAGTTGAAATCAAACGATTGAAAAAACAAATTTTGGAAGAGCAGAAAACCATCTTATATATAGCAAATGAGCAATTCTAAATGCAGGAGAGTCAGTTATTATAAAACCAAAAAAGCTTTGATAAAAACCTAAGCCGTATCTAGTACAAATCAAAAATTTCGATTATAGTGTTACACGCGCCATTTTCCCTCACTAGTGAAGGAACTTTCATAAATGTAATATTTTTTAAGTAATAAATGAAATTACCAAAGACAGAATTCAACATGCATGCTAATTGTGATTGAAAAAATAAATAAAGAGGAAAAGATGGATGTCTATTGTCTTGGCGATTGACATAACACCTTTAATCTTATTGAAATATAAATACTTTGTTGTTTTGCTTTTCTAATTAGCAGTAATCATTTATCCCTATTTCCAATTTAGCATTTTTGAATAATAATTGGTATTGTTCTTTAAAAGTCACAATAACATGATGTTTTTTTCTTAACAATCGAAAAAATGATAGTTTGCTAAGATCCTCTCATTAACTGATCAAAGAAGCCCTTGGGAAGGATAAGCATTCATTGTTTGGTTTAAAGAATAAAGCTGTTGGTTTCTCTGGCATATCACATCATAATAGAGACTATTATATACAACGAACCATTTTTCATGAAACTGCAATTCCTTTTCACAGATAAAACTACCAAATCAATCATCAACAATTAATCCTTAGTTTTACTCCAATAAGGTTTATTCAAATTTTTTGTTTTATTCATTAGTATTCGAATTACATTGAAAGTTTATTCAAATAAAACAAATAGAACGAATAAAACCAATAAACAAAATAAAACAAATAAAGCAAATAAAACAAATAACCTAGTAATAAGAATTAAGAATGCTGTATGTTTAATTAAAAAATCATACCATTTAGGAGTATAGTACGAACAGTACTGTAACACCTAAAAGTTTATATATAGAATAAAGTTCTTAAATTGGGACGATGATTTTCTACGTAAATCAGGGATTGCTTAATCTTTTTTTTTATTAATGCTATTAATTGTTTTTTAAATGAATTATATACATCAGACGTCAAACGCAAATTAACCTTTTTTGACATTTCTTGAATTCCTTTTTAGTCTCCTTGCATATAAAATATTTAACAATCCAACTATACAATAATCTATTTTTATTACTTTATTTATCATGCCGAAATTTTTTATGGTTAGTGGATTTCCTCTTCATTTTCCATCTATCCATACGTTGTTAAGCTTTCTTTTCTCATCAGATTCCAATGAGCCTTGGGGTTCTCAAGTTCTTCTTTCGTTGTTTCGGTGTCTTCAGTTTCCCCCGTTAATCTTTTGGATAAGAGCGCGGTCCTGTTTCTTGTTATTATTCTTGTGCAATTACTGCCATTTCTTCCACTGGCAATTGCTCATTCCGGGATATCACTGCATGGTACTGCTGCGAATTCGGGTTGTACTAAACCTTATACTGGTTATCGAGCTTGTGATTGAACATAATTTTTCAATAATATTATGTTCTAGATTCCTTTTGTGTTTTTTAAATCTCTTTTTGTGTTATTATGATGCATTATTATCTATTATTTTGCGAAATTTGTAAAAGCTTTGTTTTATTCATATAATCTACAATATAGAAACCTGCTGTATCCTTTTTCTTGCAGTTTTAATTTATTAAAAGTATAATGAGCTTAATAAATCTCAGTTGACGAAAAAACCTTTTCAGATGGTATTAAGCTTGCTGGTATTATTATTACTATTGTTATTATAATATCCGTTTTATTCGTAATGAGTTTGGGTATTCGAATTACATTGAAAGTCTTATTCGAATAGAACTAATAATAATAATTCGAATAGAGCGAATATTTCAAATAGTTTGAATAAAACGAATAGAACGAATAGAACGAATAATAATATTAATAATTCGAATAATTTGTATTACGAATAGGAACTCTATGACTTTTATCCTGCTATGATGCATTGTATTTCGCTTTTTGAGTAAATTGTATGTTTTTTTTGTCATTCTATGTAATGTAGGTGGACCCATCTCAACTAAATGTCTATGCCATTGAATTCTGCACTAAAATTCCGGACGTAAAAATGAATACCAAGAAAAATTTTTTTTTAGCCGCTAGCATCACTAATTTAGAAAAGACTTGACTTTTTATTAAACAAACAATAAAAATTAAAATTTTAACTGAATTAGTTCTATTATATCAAATGATTGACTCTGGACACCTGATTATTATAATTAAGGTTTGGTTTTTTGTGAAAATTTTGGGTAAAAGACTTTAAGGGTTGACTATTTTGGGTATCGCAGAAATGTTTTATTATATCCAAAATCAGGTAAAGCAATTTTTAATTGTGTGTAAAAAAGTAAAAAAATTTTAAAAATAGAAAATAGATAAGGCTCAGGGCTGGAAATTTCTCCTGAATCATGAATATTTTAAAGGAAAATCCGGATTTTTAAAGTACTATTTCCAGCCCTGTTAAGGGTTAAAATTATAGAAAGTTTTATGTCCTTTTCCATTTTAAGTAAATTTTCCAATAGACCCCGCTTTATTACTAATACCTATCGACAAAAATTTATTAATATTATATTAGATTCAGATGTGGATTTATTAAAGATTAGCGAAGAACATCAACAACTATTAATATGGTAATACAATGACTAGTGACTGATATGTACGGTTTTTTTATGGATGTTACACGGAATACTGAAAGGGAAAATTTACCATTTTAAAAAAAAAACCAGAATTATATTCAGAAGATAATCTGCTGTAATACTAAATATACATTTTGAAATGTTATTGCATGGCGAATTTCTAAGGAATCAATAATAAAAATAAATTTTCCAAAAGACCCATCACAATATAACAAATGTTGATGGTGACGTTTTCATCAATGGTGTTTGTTACCTTCAAAAATCTCTCTATGCCGATAAACTAGATATATTATATATTCCATACTCAAAGTTGGAAATGATATCTCTCTTTTTCACTGACGAGTAGCATTTTGAAAAATGTGTTTTTATTATATTCGTTACACTTTTAGCAATTTTTGATGGTGACGTTTTCATCAATGGTGTTTGTTGCCTTCAAAAATCTCTCTGTACCGATAAACTAGATATATTATACTATTCCATACTCAAATTTGGAAATGATATCTCTCTTTTTCACTGACTAGTAGCATTTTGAAAAATGTGTTTTTATTATATCCGTTACACTTTTAGCAATTTTTGATGGTGACGTTTTCATCAATGGTGTTTGTTACCTTCAAAAATCTCTCTGTACCGATAAACTAGATATATTATACTATTCCATAGTCAAATTTGGAAATGATATCTCTCTTTTTCACTGACTAGTAGCATTTTGAAAATACGATTTTATTTATTATTTTCTTTGCGTTGTCGATCATTAAAAAAAAATAACTTAGTGATCGACACTATATGAGATTACTTAGTTTTGATTTAATTAGACCCAATGCATTATGTATAATTGCATATGGAGTCAACGCAGGTTAACCTTTTTTAGAATCGAAACCCTCTTCTAGTCCATTTTAATGGTCTATTTTTATTATTATTTTTTTATGTTGAGAATTTTATGACGTGAAATGAAATTATGTGAATTTGCAATTCACATATGGGGAGTCTCAAGTGAAAATGAGTCAATTTTTTTTTGTCATTTTCGAGATAATGATATAATAATATATAATTTGTGTCAGTGAATCTTTTTATCTTAGAAATATACCCATACTTAATAAAATTTCGAGATATGTCAAGAAAACTGTTTGCATAACATATTGAACTTAAAAAGATCTGCAACTTTAAGGGGGTTTTTCTTAAAATCGTGATTTTCAAAATTGACTCATTTTCGCTTGAGACTCCCCATATGTGAAATTCAAATTAGCCAATCAGAATTTCACCCCACTCCATAATATTTCAACTTCACATACAACAACCCCACAGATTTCATAAAGAAGTTACTGCCGCATCTGGATTAAATTTATAAATCAAGTTTTTTGTCAATAATTATAATAGGGTCAATTTTAAACATTAATAGGGCCAATCTGTGGGTCAAATTATTATATACATCAAAAAGTTTGGTTAGGTTTAGTATGGTCCAATCTATCATTACATAGTAGTAGTTAATGATTATATTTTATATTAAAAAAATTTGTTAAAATATTTAAATTATAAAAATTAGTGAATTATTATAATCAGTTGACCAGTTAAATCAATTGATTGGTCTTTTAATGTTATGGGTCAAATTATGTTCTTTTTTCTAATATTATTGCAAACCTTAGGTCAAGTTACATATTAAACTTAATATTGTTCTGGATCCAATCATATAACAAACTGGGGTTTTTGTTACTGACCTATCTATGAAGTTTGCAGGATCCTGTCAGTACATTTCCTAATCATTTTTCATCTATTCATACGTTGTTGAGATTTCTTTTCTCTTTAGATTCCGATGGCTCTTTGGATTTTTGGGTTCTCTTGATTTTATTTTTATTGTCTTGACGTCTCTGCTAATTTCTCTCTTTAATCCTTTGGATAAACGCAGCCCTGTTTCTTATTATTTTTGTATAATCACATTGGTTAATAATGTCATATGTCAAAATTTTCATCCAACAAAAATTTTACTGAAAATGTTGATTTTTTTAATGTGGTGGTTATATACAACAAAAAAGTTTTTTTGATTATTTATGCAATTGAAAAAAAAAGAAAGAAATTTTTCTCTAACAAAACCAATTGATAAAATATCAAATATAAATTTAAAAATGGAAATCGCATTATTTAAAGAACAACTTC